CAGAGGAGAGCAACTAGGATGATAAAGGGACTGGAGCATCTCCCCTATGGGGAAAGGCTGAGAGAGTTGGGCTTGTTCAGCCTGAAGAAGAGAAGACTGAGAGGGGACCTCATCAATACATACAAATATCTTAAGGGTGGAAGTCACGAGTACGGAGCCAGACTCTTCTCAGTGGTGCCCAGTGACAGGACAAGGGGCAATGGGTGCAAACTGAAACATAAGAGGTTTCAGTTGAATATGAGGAAAAACTTCTTTCCTCTGAGGGTGACTGAGCACTGGAACAGGCTGCCCAGGGGGGTTGTGGAGTCTCCTTCTCTGGAGATATTCAAAGCCCGCCTGGACGAAGTCCTGTGTAACACGCTCTAGGAGAGCCTGCTTTAGCAGGGGGGTTGGACTAGATGATCTCCCAAGGTCCCTTCCAACCCTTGCGATTCTGTCATTCTGTGATATATGTTGTCCAACCAAAATAAGTGTTTATCTTTCAGTTGAACCTTAAAGATTCTGCAACCACAGTCTTTGAGATGCTTTGGTGGTATTTGATAAAGGATTATAATAATTATAATTGTGAGCTATGAAATTACAGTAATAAGTTGTATAAAATATTACTATTTCTGTTTACGGATATGACTTTGTTTTCCTTTTAACAGATGACCCTACCATTATTATAAAGAAGCAGGGAAATGAAAATATATCAGTAAGTAAACTTAATGTCTATTTGGTATAACCTCAGAAACAAGTATGTGTGGTGGTTTAAAAATGTGCAAAAGTGAATAGAGATGTGCATCTCTTCATTTATTTTACGTCCTCATCCTTCAGACCTGATTAGAGATTTCCTCTTTGGTTTTATCTTCTCCCCCAGCCTTTTCTTAAAGCATTTTAAGGCTGCGTGCCATTTTTCCTAAACTTATGTCAGTAAAATACTTGTTTAGGGTTTTCTCTTGGTTAAAACACAAACCAACAAGGTACCTTTTAGATTATTAGCATTTCAAGGATGTAGATGAGGAAGTTGTAGAGAAAGTGGATTGGGGTACACTAATGTGCCGTATCACTTCCTTTGGATAGGGAAAATAAGGCAAATAAGGTGTGTGGGAATAGCATTTACATATAACTCGATAACAGCACTTTGGTGTTAACTTTAAAAAAAAAAGTCTCTCTAAAAGTATCACTGGGGAATTAAAAAAAAAAAAGAGAAGTGCCTGGTTTACAAACAGAGGGACTCTTACTAACTGCTGTATCTGCGTATTTACCATGACAACTGAACCTGAAGCATGGTTCTTCCTTGAGTGTGCTTAATCTGAACCTGCATAATTTTGGACACTAACTGTACTGTACATTTTACAGTCCAAAGCAACAGATGGGAAGGTAGTGTAATCCAGTTTGACTTTCACACATCATTAAATTGTAAGGCTAGGAATTTGTCATTTGTTCTGCTAATAAGCAAAGTAAATTTGAAGTGAGTTAGACATATTTTGCATTTGTTCATTACAACTTATAGATGCTTTTCAGATTCAACCCATAAGTCTTAAACTGTACATCATTCTAAATCACTTCTTGATTAGTATCTTAATTATAATCCATTCTAATTGGCAGAAGTATATAATGTATTTCAGTTAATTATGTGTTTGAGGCACTCTTATTCAACATTATTCTAGCCTGCAGATAAATTTATCTGCACAAACCCAAGATTTACTTTTGATACAGAATAAGTCTTTAATTAATTAATATACATCTTAATAAAATGTGAAAACCTTTGCTCTTTCATTTCATGAATTGGAAATCCAAGAATGAAATGAAAGGCATTACAATAAAACTACTTTTATTTCAGTGTTACTTTTATCCTAAAAGAAACTGTTAGTAAGTTACTCTTAGGAGAGTTATGTTAATGTGCAATCACAGTCCTATTAAAAAGTGAAGATGCGTTTTAGTTCCTTCATCATTGCGTAGCTTCCAAAATTGAAGCAACCAGAACATTTGACAGTTCTGTTTGCTTCTTGTTCCCCAAATGAAACTGTGTTGTGTGGGAAGTCACAGTTGCTTAAATACGCAATTTCAGCTATATGTAATGAGTAAGCATCTGAAATACTAAAATGATAGAATATTCAGTTTTTAAAAATCAATGTTCTATGCATTTAAAGAGGAAAATTATGAAAAAGAACAAAATATATAAAGTCTTGCAAAGCTCTGTTTCTTTACGTGTTTGCCAGCTGGGAATGGAGTGGAGAAGGTGAAGATTGCATGCTCAACCCTGTAAATTTTGCTGGTCAAACCAGAATGAGAATTTTAATATGAAACTTTAAAAAATTTACATACTTTTTGGAAATGCATCATAATTTTATTCTAATGAAAAAACCAATTACTTTATTTTTCTGTTTCAGACTAATGGTATCAAAGTTAAAAACAAAACCAGGAAGAAGAACTCAAAAGACTCAAGGGTGAGTAACTTTTTAGCTGTTTACTACAAATAGGATTTTTAGAATTGCTGGCATTCAGATGTATAGGGGCTGTTTTCTGAAACACCTTGTGGAGACTCATTCCTGAAGTAGTTTTTCCTGATGTAAAATAATGCTGTTAAGGCTCAATTAATACAGTTTTGTTTTGTTAAAATATGAATTTGTCTGTGTAAAATGTATTTCTAAACTTGGGAAAAAGTTATTTATTAATAACTTTGGCTCTGACTGGGTACCAGTGTGTTCAGTCTATCCACTGGCTTCATTCTGGATGACGTTTTGATCTTAATTTCCCATATGGGAAAATGAAAAGACCACCTGTGAATACAGTACACTGACTGCACCATGTAATTAATACTTTATGCTCCATTTCCTTTTGCACTGACAAAGAGAATTGGAGAAGGACACTTTATTAGTAATTTTGAGAAAGAAAAATGTGTCCTTGCACCTCATGAAACAGATCTGAAATCATGTCTTAACTGTCTTTTCTGCTGATTTTTACGGGCATATCAGTGACTGAAGATGCAAGCTTCCCATTTATTACTCAGAAGAATGTTATTAGCTGTTCAGTGTTTTATAAATTTTACTAGCAATAATATCTTACCTGAAACTTATACTGTCTTTTGTCCTGCTTTTCTAGGATTTTGCTTTATCTAAAGCTTCAGATAAAATCTTGTTTCCTCTGTGCCCCCACCTGTTTAAAATTTTACCAGAATTTCAAGAGTAAACTTAAGATTTTTTTTTTTCCAGTTCTCATCAGCCACATTTTTCTTTTTCTGACTTGCATGCAGTTACACAACTCTGTGTATTTATAAAGTTATTAGATAATAAAAATTAAAAGACAACTAAAACATTTGTAACGGTGAACATAAGAATAACAGGTGTCATTAAATCCATGTGGAATTGGGATAACTCAGACTTACTTGTAGTAAAATTATTAAAGCTTGAAGGCTTTCAAATGTAAAGGAGGAGATTCCTAGGAAGTCAGTGGAAAGAAGTTACACAAAAGTCTTAACAAAGTGAAGCTGTGGTGGTGGTTGTTTTTTAATCCAAACTTGGTGAAATATCAGGCACATCTGGGATTTTGATGAATTTGGTAAAAACAGAGGGAGATTGGGCTGCATATCCCAATTTCTTTTTCCGAAATAAGTGCTGAAGAAGAAATTAATAATATTTAATTAAGAACTTTCTTGATATAGCTTAGTGCTGAAAATTGTACTTAAGTTTTGCAGTTGATAATATGGCATATGAACATGAGAAAGATGCAGAATAAGGTTCAGTGTAAATAAGTTACTCATAGTCTTTACAGTGGATCATTTTGCATACACTTTTCTGAGATTAAAAAATAATAATCTGTTTTTAAATAGTCTATTTTAGTATTATCCAGTGGAGTTAGTACAGCGCCACGAGAAGAAGATAAGATATTTATAGAAGAAAATACTTTGTAAGTACCACCATGCATCTTTGCTTTTATTGCTCAAACTCCAAAGTGCTTTGCAGGTACCGGAGAGGACAGAGTCTTAGAAACACCAAGTCTGGGTTAAAATCTGTGTCTTTCTGATAAGAGCTTGTGTAGAGCCATTACTTTTCTGCTTCCAGGACAGGTGTAAGGGGTATTAGAATTTTAAAGATCTTAACAACATAGGAAGTAACCAAATAGTTGCCAGGCTGCAGCCCAGTACATTTTCTAGGCCAAAAGCTATTCTTTCAAGTGATGTCTCACTTGCTCCGTGTTCCGTTTTGACGTAGCAAAAAATTAAGTTGATAAATTTGGACATACTCCATCCATCACAATTGAACGTTGCCACCTATGCCACATGAAGCAGGTTGTGATGTTGAATTGAGGTAATGTGTTGCTCAGAATTTGTGTGTTAATCAGGAGTCAAACTCATGCATTTTGAGCCTGTTTTGCTCTTGCTTATAGATGTGAAAGCCACTAGGCAAGAGCTAGGCATGATTATTATTATTATTTATTTATTATCTAGTGGCAGGTCAGTTAATAAGTTTAAAGGTGAAGTATTTGAGCACAGTGTTTATTCTGATTGTTAAAAAAAGTTTGCTATTGGGGTATATTTTTAACGCTATGTAGTTACCATACAGTATGTTGTTTTCAGTATATGTGAAAAATACAGTTATTTTCAGAGACAAAAAATACTGTTCATATGCACTATTTATGGTTTTGTTTGTTTGTTTGTTTTTAAATGCTACAGAGATTTTACAAATTCTTATGAACCATTTGTAATCCCAGAATATCTTCGGGGGCAGCTAGAGGAATTTGAAACTCTCTGTGATGTTTCAAATGGTTATCAAAGACATTTGGATAACAACCCAGATCAAACCTGTGAGAGCTTATATGAGTATGTATACATTTCTGTGCTTGTCAGTTTAAAGGGTTTAATATTACTACATAATTGTTATAACATATGGTATTAAGTCCAGAATTTGAGTCCTGGTGGTCTGGTATATGTAGGTATGTACATAATGGTATGTACTAATGCTTTGAAGTAGTTGCATGTTTTTAGTAAGATGTGGACAAGCAAGAGTGTTACAGAAAATTTTTACTCTTAGCTAGAACACCGTCTTCCAAATGATTGTTCTTCAGTAGTTCTAGAGGTTCTTTGCTTTGAAGTGTTATTGTGAAAATATAACGTGAAATACGATTTTAGAATTACATGAAGATAAAATACTTTGATTAATAATGACAATTTTTTTTTTTAAGATATTTCTCTCAAATCTTGGAAGAACATGGCCCTCTGGAAATTAATAATAAATTACTAGTTGGGGAATATGAACATTTCCCTGAAGAAACTCGAAAGATTGTAGAAGATGAAGGTGGTCTGAAATCTTTTCTTCTGAAATCCTTTGATTTCATTGCGGTGGATAATCTTATTGCCTTAAGAAAGCATGCAGTTCTTATTAAAGAAAATACAAACAGAAATGAGACTGGAGATAAGGAGGAAGAAAACGGTATAGCCTGTGATGTGCAAGAAAATTCTTCCCAAAACAAGCTACAGTTAAATCCAGCTGCTAAGGAATTCAAACCACTGTCTTATCCTAAGCAACCCCATATATCAGCACCTACTGACTTAACAGTAGTGAGTTATGAGCCTCCACAATATTTGCCCTGGTCTTTTCTTACTTCATGTAAATCGGTGCAATCTTTGCATAGTCAGAGTATTGATACCATAGAAAATGCACCACCATTTTCACACATTTTACTAAAGTGCTTTGATTCTAAAAATCCTGGTATATTTTTGCCTCAGACTTCCTGGGGTTATCGATATGAAAGAATATTGCCAGTGCCTTCTCAGATGCCTCTCATTTCAAACGTTGCCAAGCAACCTAGTTATGTTGATGATGTAGCTCATCGGGATAATGATGAATCAGCAATTTCAGACAGAAAATACACCTTCAGCAGTTTTATACCAACTGAAATACAAACGTATGAAGACCCTCAGTGCCAACTGGAGAACTCGGATAATACATTTTATGAAGACAACTTCACTGTTGCAAATAGTACAAATGAAGCTGAATGTGGTATACAGGTTATTAAGATGGAAAAAGAAAGCAGAGGTGTACTGCCAGCGAAAAACAATCCTCATACAAGGATGATAGCTGTTCAGGTAAGAAATTAAAACGGAACAGTTGTCTGAGAGCTTTTACATGATAAATGACAGTGTTGAGCACTGGAAAGTGCAACTCCTTTTTGAGTGGTTTCTTTATGACTTCCCAAAGGGTCAAATGTTGTATAGCATTTCAAGAGCAAATATTCAAGTAATACTTCCCAGCCACCCAAATGTAAGGGATCTTAAAAGTAGTATTTAGCATTCTCTGATACTTACCTCCCCAAAAAAGGCCACGAGTTGGAAGATACTGAGGCGTTTATCAGACTGGGAACTTCCTTAGAACTTGCAGTTTAAGTTGCTGACACTTTCTACAACTACTCTTGTTTTTCCTTTGTAATTCATTAAAGAGATGGTCACTGAATTTTGTTCTGCCTCAGATTTTAGCAGATCTTTTGATGAAAGGAGGGAACTGGTGCACATCAGTTTAATTTTCGCTATAGAGGTTAAGGAAAGCCCTCCTGTGTCATCATTTTTCTTTTTCTAATTAGTTCAGTGATTGTTTTAACTTTCACAATATTTGAGGATTTAGGTAGTTTGTACGTTGTAACAAGTGCTGGTTGATGCTTCGCTTGTGGTCTTACAGAGGCAGCCCAGCCACTGTTCAGGGTGAGTTCAGGGGGCAAACTACCTCACATTTCCTTTTCCCTCCTGAATTGGAAAAACAACCTGAAAGTTTTGTCCTACAGGTGGAGAAAGCATTACTGAACACCTGGAAAGGGGCAGGGCATGCAGCTGAACAGAAGAAGGCCCAGAGCATTCACTCTGTAATGGTACCCCAGAGTTAGATCAGCACACACTACTTCTGAAAACACACCTCAAGTAACAGGGAGGCAATAGTCCCATCCACATTTGTCACAGGAAACATTTTGGATTAAGATGCCGGGTTTTCAGGTTATGGCAGTTTCTCAGATCCATTTATGAGAGATTATCGAACATGCTAGAGGGACTGCTGGGGAGGAGTTCCTCACCATCTTTTGTTTCTTGTCGTTAAGGGAAGGATAGCTGTTTATAGCCATAAGATAAATAGTCGTCCTTTTATTTTTGCTTTCTAAATTAGGAAAATGTTAACATGGGTGTTTCTAACTTGTTTTGTGTGCAAAACTTTTTTTCACCTCAAATCTTTCCTGAGCAGTTGCTGGAAGTTCGTTTCCCATCAGTCTTGGCAGATGAATTTCATCACTTGGCTGACTGGGCTTTTAAAGTGGGATTTCTCTTTGGTTCTTGAACACGTGCAACAAAGAGATAACGAAACAGGCAACAGTTTTGAATTTAGTGAGTTCTGGTTAGCAGAGGTCAAAGGAGTGCTAGGCACAGATATGTTTCTTTTTGCAAAAGTGTGGTAGAGCAAGGCATTTAACATCATCTGACTGATTTTTAATAGCCTATTAAAACGGCAGCATCATCAGCTGGATCTTTAATATGTTGCATGATTAGATTTTAAACTTCAGTTCCTTCAGTAAGTCCTTGATGGGTGGTACAAGGGGAAAACAAGCAGGGGCTCTGACGGTCATCAAGTCTAGTCCCTTCTAAGCAGAGGAGGCATCTGTGTAGTAGATCTTGAGTTCAGGAGGAGCCACAGAACACAGCTCCTCAGTGAGCTGTCACACGCTGGTTTTGCAAGTCATAAGTTTTCAGACATGTAGAGCACAGCAGTGTTTTATAGACTCTGAGAACTGTTCTTAATATAAATGCTTCATTGTCAATTAAACTAGGGGAAGAACACAACAAAAAGAGTGCTTTCATTAAAGACTGAATTCCATTTCAGAAACACTTGCATATTTTCTTTTTACACTGTAGATAGGCCTACTTCATAATGTAGTTGGATTTGTAAAATTGTAGGTTAGGTACAAAAGCTCCAAGACACAGTTGACCTACTAGTTCCATGTGCAATTGGATAGCTGTTTAATCAGCTAATGATTCTTTGTGTTCCAGGTAAATCATGAAGTAGCTGATAGGGAAACTAATACCTTGCCTTTTCATCCATTTGAAATGCAACAAGTAAGTTATCTGTATACTTGTTTATATTTCTCATGAACAAGGGTAAAGGAATGCCCAAAGATTTAGCAGTGAAAAGATAAAAGTTGTCTGAAAATGACATGTTTTAACAGGTACTTTTTATTTTGGTTTGTTTGATGGTGGGTGTGTGTGGTTTGGGGTTTTTTGGGTCGTGGGGTTTTTTGCGGGGGGGTGTGATGTTGGTGGTGTCTTCCCCCCCCTTCATGTTGGGCTGTATTCTGTGATGATGTTCTTGGAAACTTCACACAGGCCCACAACAAGAAAGTTCTGGAGTTTCGTTCTGTAGCTATTCAGATGTTGGAGCATGTTTTAGGGAAATTTAGTATTTCCTCTCCAAAAATCGTGAGGCTTGGTTTAAATACTCCATTTGGGCATAGAGACAGCTCAGACTGAGTTTAATGGTAGTCCTATGCCTTGTCGTGGTTTAACCCCAGTTGGCAACTAAGCACCATGCAGCTGCTTGCTCACTCTTCCTCGCCCCTGGTGGGATGAAGGAGAGAATGGGGAAAAAAAAACCCAAACCAGTAAAACCCAGGGGTTGCGCTAAAGACAGTTTAATAGGACAGCAGAGGAAGAGAAAAGAATAATAACAATAAAAGAACATACAGAGCCAGTGATGCATAATGCAATTGCTCACCACCCCTTGACTGATGCCCAGCCTGTGCTCAAGCAGCAATCACTGCCCCTGGCCAACCCCTCCCAGCTCTATATACTGAGCATGACATCACATGGTATGGAAAAGCCCTTTTGGCCAGCTGGGGTCAGCTGTCCTGGCTGTGTCCCCTCCCAGCTTCTTGTGCCCCTGGCAGAGCAGGGGAAGCTGAAAAGTCCTTGACCAGAGTAAGCCCTGCTTAGCAACCACTAAACCATCAACATTCTTCTAGTACTAAATCCAGAACACAGTGCTGTGCCAGGTACTAGGAAGAAAATTACCTCTGTCCCAGCCAAAACCAGGACAGGTCTGTATAAGGAGATAAAAGTGAGAAAACATGGCCTTTGAACTCATCATATTCCATTCATGGTCAGACATGAATGTTCGTTTCCTGAGCTGGATTGAAACTGTTAATACAACTTTCTCTTAGAAACACCCCCTCCAAACCAACAAACCAACCCTACCCCAACCACTCTCCAGATTTTGAATTTCAACTGACAACAGACTGTTCCTTTTAGACGTCATGCATGTTTGCTGCCCTGTGGTAACAGATATTAGATTGGTTTTTATAACTGATTTATTTTCAGGGAGATATTCTACGTATGGAGAAAGAGCATCAGGTATTGAAAGAACAACTTAAAGAAGCCCAGGAAAAATATGAACAGTTGCAAAGCCGAAGCTCGGAGGAAATCGGTGCTTTAAAAGAGCTCCTAAAAAAAAGTGTTGAAGAGACTGAGGTGAGGTTTTTATCCATGCAACAGTGGGACCAGCTGCAATGGCTCACAAGATTGGTTGTAACTGATAAACCGTATTTTTGAAATTCCAATGGTAGTCCTCATTGCTGTGAAGTTTAAGTCAGCAAACCTCACAATCTGTGTGCGTCATCTTCCTTCAAACACACTTAAACACGCAGGCTATTGGTTGTCTCCATCTAGTGGATAGGTATTGGGTTTGGTTCAGTGCAAGACACGGCTGACTCTTTGCTTCTTCTTGATCTGTTGGGTTTGCTAGCAGGCTTTATTTCCATGAAAATGACAGGGAGTAGAAGTAGTCCCCAAACAATGCTATCAGCCCATTTTCACTTTGTCTTGATTACTTTTATAGTTAAAGCTGTAGGGGCTGCAGGCTACCTATTTGTCCATGTGAAAAGGAATTTTCCCAGTTAAAAAAAAAAAAAAAATCAGGTGAGACCAAAGCCATCTCTCCCCATGCCCCTTCTTCAGTCTTCAGTAAGATGGGGCCTGTCGCTCAATTTCAGTTGAATATTGGGGGTTTTTTTCCTTTTAGTGGTGTGTTGGAGTAAGCTCATGGACTGCAGCTTGGGAGCCCCCAAGTTCTAGCTTTACCATTGGCTGTGAGTAGCCTGGCAAACTTTTAATATGAGGGATGATGGAGTCTCACATCTATTTTTCTGTATGAATATTTGGTAGAAATGCAAGCTCAAAAAGTTTTGAGCTGAAAGCCTGACTGTGTGCAGGGTGGATGAATTTGTCCACGGGCACTGTAGGCACTTAATTTTTTTTTTTATTTCCCAGTGATGCATTAATGCTTCTTTGATTTACTTTATTTTTTTTTAACCAGTTATGGCAGCCATAAGATCCACTACTGTCTTGTTCTGTTGTGACTTGTAACTTCCCAGTTGCTAGTACTGAAACAGCAGTATCAGTACTGATTTTTCAGCTGGATTTTGAGTTGGATTTCAGTACATATTTGTACGTGACACTGTGGAACTGGGCTGCTTCTTTCAGCTGACTATGAAACAGGGTTGCAAGTGTTCTGAAGCCATGTAAATGAGGGGTGCAGATCATTGCAGGAGAGCATTTATGAGCATGTTTCCCATGCTAAACACCTGAATTAACAGTAAATTAAGCACTAGTAAAACTCTTACTGTAATTTTCACTGCCTTAGCTTCTGCTCTAACTTGCATTTGAATAAAGTAATATTTCAGAAATAAGGCTTTCTTATTTTCTGCTTTTAGGTATCGAAGAATGAACTGGACTGGCTTCATCAAGACTTAGAAATAAAAGTGAAAAAATGGCAACAGGAGAAAAAAGAAAATCAAGAGAACTTAAAAGCACTAAGGAATGCAGCTAAAAAGCATACAGATACCAATGATAGGTACTAATTTTATCTACATATTTACATTGCTTTCCCTTTGCTTGTTTGGTTTTTTTTTTTAATTTTTAGAGCAGCAGTAAGTACAGTTATTTCTGACAATGAGAAGTTTCAGTATGTACTTATTCCATGATGTATGCAGAGTGGAAACTCAAACTTGTTGCCCTGATTATGTCATTCTGAAATGAGTTAAATGCAATTCTTGGATTAGAGCTGCTGTTAATAGGATCTACATACAATGTCATTTAACCTAATTCGTAAATACTACTCCTTCATTATTTAAGATCTTCCCACGTTTTCCAGAATCCTTTAGGTCTGTGCTGCTTTTTCACTTTTCTCCTTCATGACTTACCATCACTTCCTCAGTGGGCTCCTCTACTGCGTTATGATTAAATGCTTTACGCTTTCATTTCCATTTTCATTCTTCCTTCTCTAGCGTACAGTTAACCCAGCTGAACTCTGGTCTGCATCTGTTTTTCTTACGTGCTTTTTGTCTGTTCTGCTGAGTGGCCTATCTGAGGGTCATCTGAGGATGCATGTTTCCTTCTTTTCTAGTCCTGTCACTCATTTCTCAGATTCAAGTAAAACTGCAAGAACCACATAACTGCATGTATCTGTGGTGGTTTTTTTTTTTTTTCACCCGTCCTTCACCCAATGACAGAAATCTGCAGGGCTTTCCATGGAACTTAATAATATCAATGTATGAATCCTGTCATGACCTTGTGTGCAGCAAACCCAGCTGTTTCCCTGGCAATGAACTCTCCTAGGGAGGAGCAAGAATCAACTTCAGTCGGCTTCTGCCATAGTCAATAAGCATCCATGAGATCACATCACATCACAGATGTACTGAAAATTAAATTGTGTGGCATTTGATGATGTATCAGTAGCTCTTCCTGAAGCATTCTAAAGGCTTCAGAAATCTTTAAGTGACCCAACCACTGACTCTGTAACCAGACAGATGCTTTATCACAGTAATAGGCTGAAATATGTACATGTCTGTTTTGGTATTTTGATTTTTTTTGCAAGTTACAGTTAAACATTTAAAATAACTTGTAGATAACTGATGAAACTGACTTAGAGATATTTTTTCTAATCAGATTTGACAATTCCTACTGCATTTTTAATGTTCTGTCTCGTTTACAGACCTGAGAGACTTCTGTCCTTGAATGCTGTTGTATTATCTTTAGTCTGAGTAGTTTGGGCCAAATCTCTCTTGAAAAATCACTGCCCTGCTTTTATATTAGTTAATGCTTAATTAGGAATACATTTGAATGCAGTGACAGTATTAAACAGCATATAAAACACAGATTGTCACTGCTGCATAATTGTCGCTGTGATTATAGAGGAACGTATTGTGTATTTTGCTTGTGAACGTTTTTCAGAACAAGCTTGATAAATGTTTGATTACTCTAGGTATTCAAAGACCATTGAGGAGAAGGAAAAGCAGTATAACGTATATTTAAGTACATCTCTCGAGACCAGGTAAAACTCTTGTACCTTTCAGCAATGTTTAAATTTTTCTACTCATTTGTTGTTAATTGGAGTTGTCTGCTTCACTCTGGGTGTAGGCTTAGAAAAATAAGCACTTCAACCTACATCTCTTACTCTCAGTTTACTTTTACCTATTGTAAGTGAGTGTTACTTTCTTTTAGCTATTTAGAATAATAGAAGTCTGGGTTTTCAAAATACTCTCATGCATTTCCCTTGATTATACAATACAGTGTCCTAGAACACACGTTAGAAGTTGGGTGTGGTACTGAACTGTTTATGTAGCTTTGGATCTTCACACACTTACAGTCCTAAATGTATATAAGGTTTATCTAAACATTTTCTGAAAGTTACTCACGTGCAGATAGTATAAAGTCCAGGTTTCATTTATAGATACATTCTTTGTATGTGTGATTTGGCTCAGAAGAGCAATACCTGCATGACTGCAGTAGTCAAACTCCTATAAGCTTTTTAGGCCTCACGGTGAAGTGAGGCTGCATGAGCTGTACAATGTAAATGGAAATGCATGGTTCCAGAGAAGAGAAAGAAGTAATAGCTGTATAAAAACCTCTAAAATGTCATAAATTTTAAATACTACTCTGTGGTAAATGTTACTGAAATATTTAACTTCTTTTTATTTCACAGTAATAAACTTGCTAGTGAGAAAGTAAAATTGGAAGAGCTTATAAAAAAGAGTCAAGATGACTGCCAAGAGTGTGTGAAAAGAGCTGTTAAAGCAGAGGTACAAACAAAAAAATCTTGAACCGCTTTTGCTAGAGCTTGGATCATTTGTGCTGATAGTCGGTGGGGAAGATAACCGGTGAAGTCTTGTCTAACAACCTACTTAAATAGTGTCTAAAGCTTTTCGTAAGCGTATACCGAAAGTGTTAATCAAATATTGACACGTGCTGTTCATGATGTTTCCTACAAAACTTTGCAGATCATCAAGGCACTTTATTATTAACCAGTATTAAAAGCACACAGAATTTGGGGCATGTAGTATTGCCCCAGACAAAATGCAACTCGTAATTCAGCCTTATACTTATCCTTGCTATGAGTAGATGCCATTAGTAAGAATTAACTACAGGAACATAAAAAATTCCTTGTTAAAAGTAAGTCAGGGTTAGTGACTATATAGCTGCTGCTTTATCGGGCAGAATCAGAATTCAACAAGAGACTTGTGTATTTCACTGAGAGGAGGAGAGTACTGGTAAATATAAAGATTTTTGCTAAAAGACTACGTTTTATACTGGAAATGCTTTGAATATCGTGAACAATTCTCCCTTCTTAAGAAGGCCTTGAAGGCTGTCTTATCTGCAGTAGGATTTTATAAGTAGATTGCTGGTCCACATTGGTCTTCAACCACGCAGTATTTAAAAAGCTGACTTAATCACTTAAAGAGTGTGTGTATATTCTTACATATATAGAGGATAAGTTGCAAGTGGAACATTTATGGAAGCTTTCAGCTATCAGCTGAAGTGAATGTAGCCTTTTTATCCTCCCGAAGGCCTGCCAGGGCTGTTAATTCCACCTGAAATTCTTCACCGTAGGAACTCTGTGTGTGGGTTGTACTCTGTATCATCAAACTATTGTTTCAGATGCTTATTAAAATCTATTTTGAGGTTTTATTCCTTGTGTTACAGTAGTGCTTTTACTGTGCTTTTTTTTTTTTACATGATTATGTTTTGTTACAGATATCAGTACTCAAAAACTGGAAGGAAATTGGAGTATGCAAGCTAAATGGCAGAGTTGCCAATGCAGAAGCAAATCTCAAGGTGCTGAAGTTATGGAGCAGGTATGGAGCGTTTAGACCAGAAATTTCAGTACTATTAGCTGCTAAATACAAGTAACTACTCAATGTTTAATCACAATCATTTAGCTAGACAACTCAGTTTTGCTCACAAAGGGATGCTAGCCGAAAGGTGTGTAGGAACATAGTAGTTAAATGCAGCTTTCCTGAAGGTGGATTTCTTCTTAGTCTTAAATTATCAAGATGTGTGACACTTAAGGCAGGAGCAAGCTTCTTGTCTTACGCTTTCTTGGACGGGGAAGATCAGGCTACTGGGAACATCCCAGTTTTTCCTGCACAGTATCACTGGGAAAGGACTGCAATGTAAATAGAAAATCAGTGCTAGGCATGCAACAGTGTTGCTTTCTTCCTTACAAGGAACTAATTTAGCCCTTGGTGCTACCTTTCCTAAAACTTAGGCCATGTTCCCTTTCCCTGTCTTTGTGTTGCTGCAAAATACTAATTTCCATTTGAGGAGTCCACTCCTAAGATTGGGTAAGGGCCTAAGTACTAGTAATTTAACTGATTTTAACTTAAGAATTGCTTGAAGTCTTTAACTGTGATTTAGTTGGTAGGGGAAGGAACTGTTGTGCTAAAGCCATTGCTCTTAAATAAAACAATAATAATGGGAATGTTGGAGTTTAACTGAAAATCTCGAATACTTCAGCAGCTCAGCTTCAGCGGCACCTAAGTTGAAGTCACAGATTGATTCTTGGGAAATATTTATTTCAAATGTAAAGAAACAACTGGAAAAAGTAGAGGTAAGCCTTAATTTCTCTTAACAAGCTTTAAGTTGAACTTTGGAAATTAAAACAGAATAAATACCTTAAAAAAATTTGCATTCCTTTTTTAAAACATCAGTAGCTTGTCCTCCAAATACTGAACTGTGGGGTTTTTTAGTTAAAAGAGAAAGATCCAGTCTTAAGTCCAGATTATTTAAGTGTAGTTTAGTTACAACAATCATCTTCAATTTTATAAAGACAAAAATCTGTCCCTTATACACTTGCTTCAAAATTGGATCCCTCGTTAACAAGTCCAGTCTCTTGGTTCTTTTGTATTTTTTGAACTTCAGAAATTCATGCAACTTCTTTAAAACCACCCCAAAACTCTCTACGGAAAGTTAAGATGTAGGGTGTCCAGGCTGAGTTTTAAGAACGAGGAAGGGTTTCCCAAGCCCTTTCAAGCATCAATGCAAGCACTTAAGTACAGATTTATGTTACTATTGCAAATGGCAGCCTTAGGTCTCCCTTTGGAAAGGCTCAGTATCCTTGGTGTTTTGCAAAAAAAGTAGTGTTGTTAATGCCACTTTAAATAAAGAGCGAGCTTTAGTTAATGCTGATGTGGGGGATAATTCATTTTCCTTCTGCAGGCTGAGTATGAAGAAAAAATCCAGATGGTGAAAAACGGTGTCCAGAACTGCCTCACTAAAATGGAAACGGTGGAGCTTTCTTCTCCTCCCAGCGTCTTAGTACGTATCTTACATTTGATAGCTGTTTGTTAAGAAGTTCTTTAAGTTCGTATCGGCGTGGCTATCTGTTACAGGACATGTCCATAAAGAACTTGAATGTATAGCCTGAATCTGGCCAGTTATCTGGCTCTCCATACATCCAGGTAATGTTCAAAAGGAAAAGGTGACTGCAGATTAGTGTGAGGAAGTCCAGTGAGAAGCACATTCTCATGTCCTTTGAGAGGCTTAAGCTGTTTAAAGTTAACTTTAAAATGCTTCATATTCTGCCGGAATTGGGACTAATATTTTTGCATATCGTGACTTTCCTGTAGCACCAAAATCCATGGGGACAAGGCCCCATTGTACCAACATGTGTAGCTGATTGCAAATACCAAAATCTACTTCCAGTCATATCTGTTCTGATCCAGGTGGAGTGTGGCCATTTATGCTGTAAGGACTACATCCCAGATAAATACTATCTAAAAACATTTTCTCATGGGCCAACAGTTCCACAAACTCTTTCTCAAATCACATCAGTTATGTCCGAACCCTGCCATTATTCCTGGTGGAAGAACGAAGCCAGTCTTAAGTCCATACTCCTTGAACTGCTCATCAGCATGGGGGGATGGGACGGGACAGGACGGATGGATACGGACACAAGAGCTATTAAAAAAATACTTGCAGCCAAGCCAGCTGCAGCAACGGTGCAAACAACCTATGTGCTGCCACTCGCTGACTCTAAAATTGAAACCAGGGCAGAGAGCTGATGCTCAGTCCTGAAGACAAAGAGCATTCAGAAACCACTGGACCTGGGACGGTTCAGAGTAGGGAAAACAGGGTTTGGTCATCTCTCAAAATAGGGGAGGTAATTGACTCAGTAAGTAAAACACATTCATCCTGCACGCACATAGGACATCCCTAAATTCATTGAAGATGCCACACAACTTTTATATAGATAATCTCTGCAGAAAGTAATGGCTTTTTTTTTGTTTTGGTTTTTTTTTTCTTTATAATGCAGATTCAAGGCTCTGTTCCAGTACTGTACTTTCATGACTGTTACTACAGTTTTTCTGGACTTACACAAGTAATAGTTACACTTGTGTTCTCCTGCATACCTTTGCTTCCCCGCTTATTTCTAGGTATCTACTTTCTACTTACTGGCACAGAACTCTTCAGAATATGTAGATAACTTGGTTACCATCCTTAGGTTACCATCAATTTACAGGTTGGGAAGGAGCAACGTCAGAGCCTCTTGGTCTGCATTTGGTATCTATTTTTAGTGCAGTAATACAGGAGTAACCTTTTAGAAGAGAGATCTGTAATTCTTTCAGCTTTGAGAGGACTTTAACAGGCAAATACCGAGTCCAAATGAAATAATGAAAACCCTTTTTCTCCCTGTTAATTAATTAACAGAATTAATTAAAACACCTTTACAGAGAAGGTAAAAAAAATATTGCTTCAAAAAGGTGGCAAACTAAAGAACACAGGACAAGCAGGTTTGACTACAAATGTAGAATTTTAGTTGTGTGTGTTAGAAAGCTACCTTTCCAGAGCAGTCACGTTCTAAACCAAATAGCAGTCATGGGGCAAAGCAACTAAACTTATTTTAAGGAGTTCTTTCCATTTATGGAAGAGAGTCATTAGTGCAAAAAGAAGTCTTCTGGATCGTGTCAGTTCTAAGTTTTTCAAGGTGATGACTATAGCTGACGTGTTTCTGTTTAAAAAAAAAAAAAATTACACTGGATTATGTATCGATTACATAATCCATTAAAAGCAGTGAATTTTGTATTTTCAAATTGATGGCACTTCTTTAAAGCAGTTCAGTTTCTACCACCACCTTCAGGCTATACTTCTGTACAACTTACAGCTGTCCAACAGCCATACGTTCTTTAGCCAAGCAAAGGACAGTTTGCATGTGTGCTGTCCCATTTCATCCTGTTTCAGACAGGCTGTCTGTAGGTAGAACCCATTAAAGAGCACCTTTGCACTGTATTTTTACCTAGCTAAAGCAAGTTCAGATAAATCGATGTGAGCTTCCCCTTCCTTAGCATGACCGATGTGTCATAGCTCATGCCGCAAATGCTCGAGAGTTCTGCTCAGTTTATTTTAATGACTGTTTTTCCTGTGAAATCTGTTTATTTCCCAGATGAAACAAGGCAGACCTCCAGTCAGTGACCCAGCCATCATCACGTACTCCCCCGCATCTGCACAGCCTAACTTACTTCCGGCATTTTCAAGTTCAGAAGATCAAGGTCCAATACGTGCTTCATTTAGTACTCAGGCCGCAGTTAAGCCAGTGTATGCAAATGCACAGGCTTGTTCTGCAAGTGGCGGGTCAGTGAAAATGCACTCCAAACCTCTGGAAGGATCCTATTCCGATAAAGTTTCAGCAACGTGTCCATCGGGAACGTCAGGAAGCAATGCTCAGAATGTCCAGCCACACCAGAACCACCAAGATGACTCAGCTACGCAACCGAGGCCTTCTGGCCTTCCAAACAACAAAATGCTTCCAAAAGCATTTGAAAATATTATTGCGCACCTACAGAGTATATTCCCAGACTACAGCAGGTATTTGTTTTATGTGTGTAATGTTATGCTGAGTAACAGAAGTTCTGAATATCCAAGGATAAAGTGCAAAAAGAATCAATTTCGTAGAAGCCATTGACCATTTCAGGAGAACAGTAACATTAGTTGTATCCCTCCCTCCCTCCCTCCCTTTCTGTGCAGTGAAACATTCCTTAGGGAATAGAGCTATGTGTTGGCTTACATGTTCTGGTTTTATCCCCAATGAGAACCACAAAGAGGTAGAAGTGTTACTATTTTGTTGTCTGGGGTTTATTTTACGATTAAGGCAGATGCTAGTTACCGACAGGTACTGGAAGCAGGTACTTGCTACAGTTCATTTGAGCAGCTCGTGTCTTTTAAAGGCTCTGCTGCTGTGCATCAAACATGGAAGCGACTGCGTTCTCTAGCACTGCGACTGTGCTGACAACAGCCACAGTACTGCCAAGACTGTAATTCTGTCTTTATTGTGCCTTCAGTTCAGAGTTTACTAGCTTCATAAAAGATGTACAAAGAAGAAATGGGAATACATTGTTGGGTTTGAGCCTGGATGAAATTCTAAGCAGAGTGACAGAACTCATTCTGGACCAGCAAAATAAGGTACTGTGGTGGTATGGAGCTGCTGCCTGTTGTACTGTGTGTCTCTGACAGAGGAAACAGTGCGGCATGGTCCAGCAAAGAATGCAGACCTGCCTTTGCTGTCAGGCTCTGAAATACGAACTTGCTCCAAACTCTTTTCCAACACCTTTCTAGGCACCAGCTTCAGCGGGGAGACCTGTGAGGTCAGTGCCCTCTGCTGCGCCAGCACAGACTGGAACTCGGAGTCGGGAAGAACCTGCAGAAGAAAATATCCCCAGCCCAGCCAAGGCAAGAGCCGCGCATAAAAACGCCTCAAGTAAAAATCCATCTCAGCCAAATCTCCAGCCCTGGGGAAATGTTGGAGCAACGCCTAAATCTAAATGGAAAAAACTAGACTATACAGTAAGTTTTCCACTCTTTCGATGTGAAGCAATTGCCGTGTACTTCTTGTAAGACATAAAATAATCGAAGTATTGCTGGAAAAAATAACTGATTTGTTCATTTTGTGTACAAAAGCTTAAATATACTTGGTTAAAACTAGTAGCATCATTAACTTATTTGAATTTGCTGATTAATTGTCGCTAGCTTTCAAATAACTTAACATTTTGTGTATAGGCCTCCAGTGATGATCCTTGCACCATATGTCATGATGAGCTAAGCAGAGACTCATGTGAACTAGAATGTGGGCATCATTTTCACAGAGAAGTAAGGATTTTTGTTCTTATTGCTTAGGCGCAAATGTTTAAGAACTTTGCTCAGTTATGCCATCGTTTCACTTCTGAAAAGCAACCCTCCCCCCCCCCCCCCCCCCCCCCCCCCTCTCCCCTTACCCTTTGGTGCTTCAAGAACAGCGCAGTTTTCTTTCACATGCACCGAGACATGCTATAGATCTATACAGTCTTACTGTGCCAGAAAGTTTCCAGTTTTAGATTTTTAACTAAAATGGTAATTCATCAGCGTGAATTCAAGCTTATTCTTCAGAGAATAAATTTGGTAGTTGTCACAGATTTGTCTGAAGCATGCTTACAGAATGGGCTGTCGCTATAAACCCTGCCTTTGCCGCCTGGCAGCAGCTGCACGTGTAACTTCACATAGTAAGAAAGTCAGGATTCTGTTAGAATAACTTAATGTTTCTGTCCGTGACTTTTTCCCACAACCTTATTTGGTCACTGCTGGTTTGTTGTTGCAGAATGGGTGCAAATGTAAATTGACCAGCACCGTGTCAGAATTGGAGAACGGTTTTTCTAACTGCAAATTTTAGTAACACAGAAGGTCTTGGAAAAGAGCTTACCTGTTAGTGACAATTATTAATGAGCGTAAGCCAAACTCTTTATACCGGACTTTGTTTCCTCAACATCTTCCTATTCTTGCAGTGCATCAGAACATGGCTTAAGCAACACTCCAGTACCTGCCCCATCTGCCGCGTGCACGCTCTGTTACCAGAAGACTTTCCTGAGCTTCCTGCACGGAACAAATACACCTAAACCTTGTTTTATTTAAGCATGTTGTAATAAGCTGCAAAGTGGCTGCAGAATAACCACTGTGATAAGGAACAGAAACGTGATGCCTAGAAAGAGACAGAACCCTGGTTTTATTGGAAATGGTAGTAGAACTCGGACTAATTCAGTATTTAATGCTTCACATTAAGCTGTAAGATGCTGGTACTGCCACGGCCCCTGCAGAATCAAGTTAGCGTGCTCCAAGATCCAGCACTTTCCTGGTTGCTGCCTAAATGTGCAAAGCCGATGTAGTTCAGAAGCCAGAGCACACAAAACTGGTAGGGTTTTTTGGCCAAGGGATGTTTAAACTATGGTGTATCTACTTCTCCTAAAGGCTGGTGCATAATTCCTGTAAAGAGGGGGCTTTCCTCCAGGGCTTACACCACACTGAAATTCCAGCATCAAACGAGCAGGGGGCCTGAATGACAGACTAGCAGAATGCGGAACAGCCCAGACCTTACCTTCCTCTGGCACAAACAATCCCAATTTAACTGGAGGATTTCAAATCAGGCTTGTTGTGATCATTATGAACACAGTTCATATAATTGCAGCTCCTTTCTCTGCATAAATCCATAGCTAATAATTCAAATTGTTTAAATAATGACTTTTAGTAATATTTTGAAGCAAGAAATTTTTAAGCCTTCCTGTACTTCTTTCTGTTTGTGTATCACTGAGTTGGAATGCTGTAGCTCAATTCCTTAATCTCAAATTACGCTTTGAATTTCCTTCATTGCTGAGGAGCTGTTTTACTTAAATCAGAAACTTGTCTCAAATAGCCAAAAGCCCAGGACTACAGCACGTACAGCTTAACCACTCTGAAAATAGCGTGACTGCTGTTTGGGTACAAGCAGCATTAAATCAATTATATGAGATTAAGTTAGCTAACTCTAGGGATCAGTTGTTCCCCCCAAATGAGTATGTATCCTCCAGAGGAAGTTTTCAACTATTCTGTGATTAATCAATACATTAATTGGTACTCAGATCAAAAATAAAAGTTACTACCGCAGCTGATGTGGGTTTTCTGTGTGATATTGTTGCTAAGTCTCAGTTACTGGTGAGTAATCCACTCTAGGTCAGAGAGCGAAGGCACCTTGCTGCCTGAAGAATGAAGTACTGCGCTGCCCCGCACTGCAGCACTTGCAGCCTTTCCGGCTCCCGTTATGCCTTGGGCTGGGGGACGCATACATAGAGAGCATTGTCTTAGCTTCTCACCAGCAGTCCCACGCCTGCCCTGCTGGGCCGCGCTCCCCAAGCAGAGCAGAGGGTGCCCTGAGGCAGGCGGGGTAAGCTAAGCCGGCTGTGGGAGCAGCGCTGCGGTTACACCCGCTTGCTTGGTGTCGGCCAATCTTGGTTCTCCTACACCCACAGCACAGCCACGACCCCACGTCCCCAAATAAGCGGGATGGGTTTTGGTCTGTGTTCTTTTCTCTGAGTCCCACAAGCTGGAAGGATTTCAGTGCTTTCCAGAGGCGGTTTGGTCACACCTTTGAGAAGGAAGCCCTGGCGCCCCGCTGCTGCCTGGGGGAGGGCAGGGGCGCAGGCCGTACTCCCACCCTAAGGGAGCTGATCTGCTCGGGCTGTTGGGGCCGGCGGTGGGATGAAGGCCAGGCCGCCTCGCCAAAGAACCGCGGGAGGCAATAGTGCCGCTTTGAGCAGCAGGCGGCACTCTTTCAACAACAGCATGTAGACTACAAACAGCAGCATTCGTTTTCCAGAAGTCATCCCGTACCATTTCCCGATTGTAGAGAAGTGTTAAGTAAGTTCTAATAAACAGCTCCTTTTTTCCCCCTACAAGACCACTGTAAGACACTGAAATTCTCATTTCAGATGTTTATTCCTCACATGCAAATGATCTAGAAGCAGGACCAAACCTAGAATTGCATTTCCTGCTTGGCAATGCCACGGGATAAAGCTAAAGGAAATTATTTGGGGCAGTTTTCTTAATTCTGTCTTAATTAGTTTTCTTAATTCTGTCTTTTCAGGTTGTCTCTTTACACTTAGGTTTTATGTACTTAGCCTACCTCCACCCCCCCATAACAGTGTATGGAAAACCCACAGTTAGAATAAATTGTGGCTGTTCTGTTAACACCAGAATCTACAACCTGTTTGTGTCGGGAAGGTTATCTCTTGCTGAAATAGCTTTCCTGTATCGTTCCCTTAAGATGTATCATTACAGACACTTTCATGTATTTACCTTAACTTACTCCTTTCCTGGCACTTACATTCGTACTTTAAGTTGAACAACTGATGGTATTAACCCACCTGATTAAAAAGAGCGGCCGTCTCCCTTGGAACGGTTATTTGTATAATGACAAGTCACATCCTAAAGGCACGAGATGCCACAGTGTAGAAGGTTTTAATGCCATTCTTCCACCCTCAGCATAGGCTGGTCTGCAACAATTCAGTGGTGCCATTTGTCGCACAACAGACATTTGGTCTCCATCAAAAAACTGAGCTGTACAAGTCTTATAAAAGGGAAGGTGGTGTAATGCAAAGAGTAAGTATATTCTCAAACTAAAAACTTTTGACTGATCTTCAGTGCTGTTTTACACACATCGCAAAGATAAAGGGCGTTATTTTTCTAGGGGAGACCCCCACGCACAACTTCAGTTCTAAGCATTCCTCCCATACAGGATCCAGGGAAGACCCCCACGCACAACAACTTCAGTTCTAAGCATTCCTCCCATACAGGCTCATTTGACCAAAATACGCTCGGTGTTACTTCACATATTATTCATTTCACGTTTGCCTTGTGATATTCATCCCACACCACCACCTTGCATCGTTGTAGCACCATTTATTACACCTTCAAAGACACGCTTCAGCATTATCTTACAAGTCCCATGCCTCCCCCCCAGTATATATACACACCACGTGTAACAGGACTTACTAGTTTTGAGAGGTCTTCAAAGGACTTTGGAACAAGTATTACAAAATGAAATAAGGAAAGAAACTTTCTACAAGTTGTAGAAATATATGGAATCATCCCTTCGGGATCTGTCTGAGAAAAACTGGGGGAAAACATGGTTGTTGAAGTCAGAAAGACACCTGACAAGGCTGCCTGAATAGACACATCCACGCAGGCTTTCGCGAGGCAGGCAGAGTCTTAGCAAGACTGGTAGAGAACTGAAAGCCCAAGAACTACCAGCAGGGAGAAGGAAGTGATGTGGTTTGGTTAAAAAAAAAAAAACCAAACAAAAAAAAGACATTAATGAAATTTCACTTTGCCTCTGAAGAATTTTGTCCTTTTTCAGTAAATCCTTAAGTGATTCTCCTCTGACTATTTACATCCTGCAGAGCTTCAGGGGGAAGTTCTCTGTGATGAGGTGATCATCATGCAGAAGGACAACAATGTTAACTTCAAACTCTGGAAGAAGCGGGGGGGGGGGGGGGGGAAAAAAAAAAGTTCCATATTAGTCTGAATTGTCACAGTAGGATGAGAGGGAGGCAGTTCCTGCTCTCAGACACGGCTCTTCACAGGGCCCCTCCAAGCCGTTTCAATAGCCTGGATTTCCCTGTGGCAGGGAGGAACAAGGTAACCTCCAGGCAGAACCTCACCACAGGCACCCCAGATCTTGGACCATTCCTGGAGAACCTTGGCTTGTTCTCATCTTTGGGATTCCTCTGGATTCACGTCCGCATCACTGAAAAGCTGTAACATACAGTCTTCTGGACAGCGGGCAGAGCTCAGATGTCCAAGATTAAAATGTTTTGGGAAAGACGCCTCCCGCCCATACGCATTATTTAGAATGCACACAAGTGGAAGAGTTAGGGAACAGGCTCCTCCCCTGCTGCCAGCATGTGACGGAGCCTTAGAACCCTGCGTTATGTATGGCCTCGTGAAATTAAACACTAAAATACAATATACCTGCAAACTATGAAGAACGTTTTTCAAAAGAAAATCTATTCTTTAGATATTATATTCTGTTCAAACCCCAGATCTATAATCAATCCTAAGTGGCAACAGAGTACACAAGTCAGGTAGAATTAATAAATGAAGGAACGAGGGATCAAAATAAACTGAAAAATAATTGTCCTTTTTTAGAATCTTCATATCTATATTAAGACGGTTCTTATAAATAAAAAAGTAGATGCTACACTAACAGTAGCCATTTGTCACTGTAAATTACCGTTCAATAGCTAGGAATGGCAAAAAGTAGAGTAGAATATTGTTGGGGGGGGGCTAAATCGCTGTACACATCAGGTGCAAAAATGCTTTTGGGGGAACAGATAAACAGGTAGGCAAAGCTGAAAAACTAGCTGTGCACATTTGTCTGAGATATACAGCAGAAAGCTAGGAGGGGCTTCAGTTGGAAAGGATCCTAAAGGCAGGGACTTCAATCTGACACAATAAAATAAAATAATAATAATAATAATAATAATAATAACAACAACAACAACAATAATAAAAAGAACCACCAACCGATTCCAGCAGGATGAAGGAAAGGAAAACAGGCTACCAAAGAGAACTTTTGCAGTAATTACTTGAAGAAGTGAGGAGAATCCTACATGTCAGGTGTTTGTTATTGAAAATGTTGGATTTTGGCAATAATAAGCAGGAAGATGCAACTGGTGTAGATGAAGAAAAGCAAAGCCACGTACAGGCTAACCTTGCTTTTTCTACTTCTGAGTCTGTACAGCAGGAGAGTGGGAAACAAAAAGGAGAGGGAATGGAAAGAGGGGTTCTTGCTGGTGATGAAAAGAAGGAAGGGGTCATCTTGGCATTTTATTCTTGGGCTGTTACTCAAGTGTTTAATCACAGGTAATTTTCTGGCAGAAAAAAAAAAAATTACCTGCCATTACCCTGCTTCTCCTGTCCCTTTACCATATAATTCTATCAGTCAGAAGTAGCTTAACAGTTGCACAACTGGTTTTAGTTAGAAGCATTTGGGCTGTATTTTCTCAAGCTATGTGAAATACAGCAGACTGCAGTCCTGCTCAGGAAACCTCTACAGGGAAACAGGCGGACATCCTCGCTGCTTCTTACAGTGCTGACAGCGACTTGCCCCGTTACCTGCCAGAAGCTAAACTAGAAACCCATCTCAAATGAGAGGTGCCCACACAGCATATACGCACTTACCGACTTTGAAGTTTGTTGTTTCCAGGGTAGGGCAGGTGAACAACCTGGGAAACACCATGTATATGGGAATTGGTAGGCCCCTGCAGACATCCCCATCAGCAATCTGAATATTCTGTATCTCTGTGGCATCTCTGGCGTAACCTTCCGCACACCCTGGTGAAAGCGGGAAATTCAGAGGGAGGGGAGAGGAAGGGAAAGAAAGAAGAGAAAGCAGCGGCCAAAATTTAAAACAAAGATATAATGGGGCTGGAGGGAGGCAAGGGGGAGTAGGTGTGGGCAAAGCATTTTGCCCTTTGACCTGCAAGTTTTCACATTAGCACTCCTGAGTTAAGGATCGTAGAGATTATTTAAATTAATGTTTGGACTGTTCCACCTAAAGTGCAAACCAATTTTTTGCAGGTCTTTTCAATTGTATGCCTTCTGAAAATCTTTCACACTGAAGCTGAAAGAGCGCAAGTGGTAGTTACCGCAGTCGAAACACGTTCCAATTACAGAGAAACTTACCACAGGTTTCCACCCGTACTAACTGCAGCTCAATACTTTTGACGGCAGCCTCTGCATTCTCCACCACCAGCTCCCCTGTCAGTGGCTGTGTAATGATACAGTTTGTAGAACTGAGATGCCCTCTGATGAGAAATTTTGGAAGTGAAGCTCTCTGGAAAGATTGGGAGGGGGGAGAGGGGAAGACACAACTGTAAGAGCAGACTAAAAAAAAAAAATAAAAAAAAAAAAAAAAATCACCTTACAGAAAGACAGTTATCAAAGTATACAGGAAATCCCAAAAAGTTGCAAAGTTAAGAACCCAAAAGTTCAGAAATGCCTCAAGTAACTTATATAACTCTTTAAATATGCATCCTTATGCAGATGCATTAAGATCTCTCTTACTACCCTCCCCACTGACACGCATCCACCCTACTCATCCACAGGAGCATTCTTCCTGGGATGAACTGGCAAAACTTGGCTGTTACAATTAATCCAGAAGTCGGGAACCACATGGTGCAGGAGGTAGGCTGGCAGGAACTAACAGGATGGTTAAGTTAAATCAGCTGGCGGTGCTCTGGAGAACTGCATTCTGGTCCCATTTTGTTAAGGATTACAACACGCAATATAGCCTATCATTTCAGTGATTTTCCCACCTTTTAAAATTTCTCTCTTATGGCCGCTACTGGGAGGGAAGACGGGCATTTAAAAATCTTAATGCAATTTGTAGCATACTGCTTATGTACCAAGACCCCGATTAAGGACAATTAATAAAGGGTGTAATTGCAATACAGGATCATGCTTTTAAAACTTTCCTAACAGCAAGGATGTTTCCTCCTTTTTAAAAAAGGAGCAGTACAAATAGCTGATCGAGGGTGACAGTCTATTAAATCAGTTTCCATAACAGAGCAGGGGCTTTGCTCCCCCTGCCCTCATCTTTTTCAGGCCAGCAGGCATCACAGATACTCTCTGCCAGCAGAGAAACTCATATGCCAGAAGCTCCAGTTACATTTCAAGTTCAGGCAGGAGGCATGCTGAAACGGTCAAGTTTTCTACCCACATCTTCAGCTCCTATCTTCACCATCCAGCTTCCTTCAGACTCTTTCAGCATCCTGCTCTAATCTTCCCCTTCTTTTGCAAGCCTTAGTCTTCTTTCTATCCTGAATTATTTGTTATTGACATTTTTGATGTTAGCCCCTACCTTCCAACCATCTGTTCGCGCTTGCTTGTGGCATCAGATTTCCTTGCCCATGTAACTGATTTTCCCTTCTTCCAAACCAACTCTCTTGGCGAAAATTTTCTTTCTCCCAATCTGTTTGTTTTGCTTCTTAGTCCTGGCTGCCAGTAGCAACGGCAGAAAAGTTCTCCTCAATTATTGCTTAGACTGTTTCACTCAGATACCCAACACCTCTGCAGAATTTAGCTGCTCCACTCAAAACAAATCTTTGGGGGAAATCAAGAAAGAGGAATTTTCATGAGTTTAAGAAGCGTGACCTCACTTGTGTATTTTCTCCTAACTTAAATAACGTAAGTTACATCGCTGGCAAAACCACCCTATGAGATATTGAGTCCTACTAATGTATTAGTAAAATGCTTTTTTGATGGCACGATCCCTCGCAGCTTCTTCTCATCACCACTACTAGCAAACACAGAGTTGCTTCCCTGCTTCACAGGGACATCATAGTTATCCCCTGAAGTGTAGTGGTTAGGAACCTAAGAGACATATAAAAGGAACTCATGGAATGAGAACTCGAGGCCATTTTCTTCAATCCTCATCTACAAGACCTGTTTTTTTAAAGGTGTATTTCCCCTAGAGCCTTACTACTCTTGTCAGTATTCTTCATATTTTAATCCTAGGTCGGTCTTCTCTCATAGGACCTATCATTTACACTCTATTTCATAATCCCCCCAAAATGAGAATCAAGAATATACAAGCAAATCTATCCTGGTTTTTCATCTAACCTCTTTGTGCTTTGCTTGGCTACTGCAAACCTCCTGATCGGTTTTCTAGTGGTCTAAACAGAGATTATAGTTCAGTCACAATCTCCAGACAAGCAGAGAACTGAAATGTTAATATTTTAAATATACCAAAACAGTGACTTTTCTACATGTCCATCAGGTAGTCACTTGAGACCCACACATTTCTCTGAGACAGGGAGAGGAATTTAAAAAAAAAAAAAAAAAAAAAAAACCACAACAAAAAAAAGCAACTGCTTGTGCTACCATACACATTCAATACCATTCTTTAGACAGCTCCACAATTAAATACCAAGAACTGCTGGATCAGAGATGTCAGAAGTTTTAGAACCTATTTTTGTAGTTATGTACTTCAAATAGAGAACGGCACAGGGTCTACTGTTAAACTTAAGAAAGAGCTTTTAATGAACAGGACTTTCTCATGACGTACACCACTGAGTCTTTGGTAAGTCAATGAGTACAGTATCAAGATACAGGAAAAGAAAGAAGAAAGAGAAAATAATTTATATGGCAACATGGTTCATAGGAAAAGCAGACTGCTGAGAACTCAGTATTTAGCAGTAGTCTCAAGAGTAATTTTACCACCAAGAATGGTTACTGTATCCTTATACTGGGAAAAACACATATGCTTGCAGTGTGCAGCAGTCTCCGCAGACATGAGAGGCTGCTGGACACAACCTACTCATCCTCTGTCTCAGCTGGATTTACGGTTCAGCCATGACAGCTGGTTGGTTTTCTAGAATCACCTCCTCCGCGCTCAAAAGTGGTCTATTCTAACATGCAGAAAGTCAAGCAAAGGTAGGAAGAGACCTGCATGGATGAACAAGATGCTACTGATAAAATCATAAGAAGGAAGTATACAAAAGATGGAAGTAGGATCAGGTGACCCAGGAGGAACATAAAACCACTATCCGAGTGTGCAGGGATGGTTTTGGGAAAGCCAAAGCCCACCTGGAGTTAAATCAAGAGACACGAAGGGCAACAAAAAGGAGCATCTACAAGTCTACCAGCTGCAAAAGGAGGACAAGGGTAAATGTCAGCCTGCTACTGAATACGGCAAGGGACCTAGTGACGAAAGACATGAAAAAGACAGAGGTACTTAATGTCTTCTCTGCCTCAGACTTTACAGATGAGATTTGCCTTCAGGAATCCCAGGCTTCCACAACCACAAGGGAAGTCTGGAGTGAGGAACAGTTATCCTTTGTAGAGGAGCAGCAGGTTAGAGAACATTTAAACAGACTGGATGTACACAAGTCCATGGGACCTGATGGGACGCACCCACAAGTGCTGAGGAAGCTGACCCATGTCACCATGAGGCCAATCTTGATTGTCTTTGAAAGGCTGCCATGAACAAAGAACATGTACCGTCACTCTTATCTTCAGTTAGGAAGATCCGAGGATCTACAGGCTCATCAGCCTTGCTTCAGTCCCTAGGAAAGTGATGGAGCAAATAACCCCAGAAGCCATTTCCAAACATATAAAGGACAGGAAAGTGATTGGAAGCAGTCAGCATGGATTTATGAAAATGAAATCACATTTAACCAACGTGACGGCCTTCTGTGATGAAATGACTAGCTTGGTGGACAAGCGGAGAGCAGTGGGTACTGAAGCACTGGCTTCAGCTCTGCTTTTGATACTGTTTCTCCTAACAACTTCACAGACAAACTGGTGGAGTACAGAAAAGATGTACAGATTAGACACTGAGGTGGACTGAGAACAGCCTGAACTGCTGGACTTAAAGGTTTGTGATCAGTAGCACAAAGTCCAGCTCAACGCCAGTCACTAGTGGTGTACACCAGTGACTGGGGCCAATATTGGAGCCAGTATTACTTCACACCTTCAGTGATGGCTTGGACGATGGGACACAGTGCATCCTCAGCAAGTCTGCAGAGAATATGAAATTGGAAGGAGTGGTTGGTGAACCAGATGGTTGCGCTGCCCATCACAGGGACCTCCAGCTGGCTGGACAAATGGGCCCACAGCATTCTGAACTGCATTAGAAAGTGTTGCCAACAGGCTGAGGGAGGTGATTCTCCTCATCTCTTCAGCACTGGTGAGACAAACCTGGGGATAGTGTGTCCAATTCAGGACTTCCTGCTACCAGAAACACAGACTTACTGGAGCAATTCTAGCTTTTGCTGGATTTGGCCATGAAGATGGTTAGGAGCACGTGACATGCAAGAAGAGGCTGAAAGCTGGGATTGTTCACCCTGCAGAACAGAAGGCTTAGGGGAATCTTATCCATATGTATAAATACCTGATGGGAAGGAGTAAAGAAGATTGAGTCAAACTCCTTCCAGTGAAAGGACAAGAGACTACGGTAACAAATCAAAATAAAGGAAATTACTTTTAGATTTTCTATTTATTCATTTTTTAATCCTGTCAGGGTGGCCAAACACTGTAACATTGCTGAGAGGTTGTAAGTCTCCATCCTTTGAGATATTGAAAACTTGACTACACATGCTTCTCAGCAACCTGCTCTAGCTAACTCTGCTCTGAGCGCAGGGGATGGACTAACCAATCTCCAGAGGTCCCTTCCAACCACAATGATTCTGTGAATATGTACAATAAGGTCAACAATAGCATGAAACAAAAACAGCTAATTAAGAGGTCTGTTTTGAGAAACAAGCAGAGGAGTAGGTCTAAATTCAAAAGTTTGGGACTAAGAGCAATGGAAGACAAACTGGGGACACAGAAGGGAGAGCTAAAGCAGGAAAGCAACCTTATTAACAAGAAGAGCAAAACAGCAAAATCTGGAAAAAACAGATTTCAGTGGACAAACAGAAATCAGTGTTCAGAAAGCTAAACGACCAAGACAGTACTACCCAAAGCCACATGGTCCTATAAAAAGAGGCATAACCAAGGATCAAGATACACATTTTTAAAGGATCTTGGCTACATGTGGCATAGAATGTTTTCCTTTGCTTCACTGTCATCTTACTCAGAAAAAATGGTAAAAATGTTTAACCATTACTGAACAAAGTTCCACCTTACATTCACCACCACTATCACAAGAGAACAGGCAGAATCACTTTACTGCTTACAAAAGTAAAAAAGGAAAAAAAGGGGAAAGAAAAAGTTTATTATCTGCAGGGCAGCATTTAATCATTCTTCTCCTGTTCTCACCCAGAGTAACATGAGCATTACGTTTAAAATAAAAGAGTAAGAAAACCCTTACCTCTTTAACATTTTGCAAAGTTTCAGGAGTAATTGTGAAGTCTACTGGGCTTGGCATCGGTTTCCCTTTCTGCGACTACAAGTAATGAAAGAGTTAAACTGTAAACTATGATTTACTAAACACACACAGTATTAAAAAAACCAACAAAGTCAAGCAACTGTTGGATGTGTTAGTTTTCAGGATTGTTTTTGTACTGAAAGTATGCATCTATGTAATAAAACCCCTGAGATTTCCTGCCTTTGCTATTAAGTAACATTATGATATTGTCTAAATACAAGTCACAATGCATCACAAATCTGAATTGTAGAAACAGAACTGTGTCACTTTTTGGTTACTTTGTGTTTGCCATTGCAATAACCACAACAAGCTCTCCATTTGTAAATTCTTGGCATAAGCTCTACCTACACTGGAGGCGGGGGGACGACAGGATGACCCAAACAAAAAAAACCACAAAATTAAAACCACTACCTATCTGAAACATATGGTATGCTATAGAAAAGAATTTAAATTTCACATTTCAGTACTCACAGATAATTACATTTTATGTCACTTGCAATGTTTGTTTCCTTTCATTATTAATACTTAGTAAATTTGGGCAGAGGAGAGAGGGGGAGATTATAAGTGAACTTGCTCCATTACTTCAAATATATTTTATAAACTCTCCCTTCCCTCTTGTTATCTCTCAGCACTTTGAGCTCTTTCTGCTGCCCTTTCCATAGTACAGCTCAGGTCTCCTAAGCCATCCTCATATTACTAGGAGATCCTCAGCTGGTGGAATCTAGCATAGCATTGATTTAATGGGCTTAGCATTCCAGCTTCTTTAACTGTAAAACAGACAAAACTTGGTCCAGGGTAGCTTTCCACACTGAAGAAGTAGTTTGGGGGGCACATTATTACAGTTCCTCAGTATCTATTTACACCATTTATCACAAACCCAAGTTAAGTCTTTCTGTAAGTGCCTGAATGGGCCCTGAGCTCTGCAGAGATGGCAGCCTCTACTCTGCATCAGGAAGACAAGCTTCGCTTACCATTCACCGACCTCACTCTCCGTCCTTATCTCAGGAGACCCAACTGTATGTAACTGGGACTTGGCAGAGCACACCACCACCAGTGGGCTTAACTTGAACTCTTAGTTAGGATCTACCCTCACTACATAAGAATTCAAAATAGCTTCTGCTGCCCAGCCACAAGATGGAAGATATTAGCAAAAGATTGACTGTATTTTCCCATAAATGAAGAATTCTGGCAAGGACTAAGGTTAAGGGAAATGGTACAGTGAGCACTGACAGTGAGAATTGTATGTTCAGTAAAACCTCATTAATTCACCCTGACTGAGAGACTCATGATTTACTGACTTGTGATCTAAGAAGTGCTGTAGTGGGAACAAGAAGTAAAACCAGGAAACTGCATAATATGTAATTTGTTCACTATTTTGACAAGTTTGGCTTACTTATAATATAATAATGGACCAATAAAATGTAGTGTAATATATTTTAGAAAATAATGAAATCTTACCAACAGGAAACTTCTTTATAGCACCTAGCTAAATCTTTGAAAAAGGCACTGTAGAACTAAAATAACATATTTCCACCATTACTCATAAGGAAGACAAAAGAGTCTAATACTTTACTGTCCTGTTAAGAGTTCAAAGGAATGATACAAACAGTACGTTCTAGAAAGTTGTGGGTGGAAAAAGAGATACTTAATTAGGTCAGCACAGCCTGTACCAACATCAGATCCTCTGGACATGCATACTAGTCAATATAAACTAAAAACCAATCTGACATAGGAACTTCAAATAGCAAGCAGCAAAACATTTCTTGTGAGACAGTTAATTCTCATCCCACAATGACCTCTCCCCAGGAGGAAGGCTGCCTCCATTTTGCTAACCACAGGATGTGGATATTTGTTAATCTAGTTATCTTAGCACACTGCTAACCATGGGCTTACTTAATAGCAAAGGTGATTAAGCTGACAAGCTTCTTATTCCCAACTTGATGCAGTCCCAGCTTTGATACTTTGACTCAAGGCTCTAAACCATAATTAGTCATCTGAAGAACAGAAATCAGATATTTTTTCTTCACCAACAAACTCCCATTCCTAGGACAGGCACTGTGGGTGCCTGGAACCTTTGGCTAAGAAATGCTCAGATAATCTGAAACAGTGTTTAGAAGAATGCTGTGGTATTTATCTAACCACACCATTGTTTCAGAACTGAGAGGATGAATATGAGAATAAACTCAGTGCAGTATAAAAAAAAATTATAATTCAAATCCTCTTTGTACTATTTTCTTTAAATGAAAGGAGAGATGTGTCTTTCTAATCAGAAGCAACTGACACCCTAGCTCTTCTGCACGGGTTTTTTTTTTGGGGCCAGCTTCCTTTACTCATACATATCCTGTGTTGCTATTACAAATTACATGGGTTTACTCAGTTTTGTAACTTTAGAGCCAAACTTCATTTAAAGTGGGGGGGAAAAAAAAGTCTCACTTTGTATAATTAATACAAACCACACTTACCAGTGAGTGGACAATGAATTCACAAGTCTTAGTTAGGTCTTTTGCCAGCAGAGAACGTCGCATATCACATCGTAGGGTATACTGGCAAGAACAGGATGGCAGAGAAAAAGAAGACAGCCTTAGTTAAGGTTTCCTCTCTCTCGCTTTTCTTCTTTTAACTACATATGTGCAGAATGTTACTGTTATTAATATTTAAGACATCGTTTAAAACAGATTAGTAGGCAATGTACATACCAGTAATGGGGAAAGGGGAAGGAGATAAAAGGTATACAACAATTTGAGATGCTCCCAAAAGAAAGCCGATTTTTCTTTGTGTTTACAGTCCTACAGTCATTTGCCAATGCTTTCCCTATCTTCTGTGTTATGTAATAACCTATGAGATCGAGGGACTAATTCACTGGCAGAGAGTAGTATTCTTGTACGTCTTCCACACCCACATTACATTCAGTAAAGAGGGATTACAATATTGCCTTTCACCGTACTTCGGATAAGTGATTATCAATAAGGTATATTCACAGCCCCTCTAAATTTAAATTTATTTTAAGACTGAACTTAACAGTGTTAACAGTTACATGCATATTTAATGCAGAACTGTCTTCAACCATATAGCTGAACTTAAAAGCAGCAGCATGCAGCAAAGTCAGGCAACAAGGTTAAGTTTGCTGTTCGCTGCTGCTGATTTCCTCCCTTTTCTCCCCTAAAAAGGGAGCCACAAACCAGTGACTGAAAAATAGTATGACCTTGGTGCACTCAGACTAGGGACTCAGCTTCATATCTTCTAGATCATGGGGTCTCTCTGCACCTAACCTGAACACACATGCAAGAATGAGATCAGGGAGCCTATCTCTTCCCCCACCACAGACAATGGTTTCCACTGAAGCTGCTGACTGTTGAGCAAACCTTCTATTACTGCAGTACGTGTCACTCAGACCAGGGAACACAGCACAATGAGGCAGCAGGACCATGCAGGCCTTGCAATTTGGCCCACAGGCTCCCCATCAGTGTCTAATTAGAAGATCTCTGCATGAGAACAGAGACTTGACTCTTGATAGTGCACCCCCAGCTAACATACTAATACCTAGATCAAGAAATAGAGGCTTGCTTTTAAACTGCACAGGACTTAGGAAGTGTTTCTTAAACAGCACCTTTAGTTACTCAAATGAAAAAAATCAACAGGTGGTAGACTGTAGTCTGTTTTTCCATTTCTTGATTTGGACAGAGAACAAATATAAACGTTAGAAGCAGATGAATTCTTTCCTTTGATTTATTTAAAACTAACAAGGTATTTTTAAGTAGTTCAAGCCTGATTTTCTAGAAAACAAACTTAATGTTCCCCAGTTTACATCCCTGTATCTGTTTTATCAGGTATCAGTGCACCTTGAATAACCTTGGGAAAGACTACATTTTCCTCTTCAGAAGAGCAGGACTCTCAAAGGTTGGCTGAAATCTAATGATTAACCTTTTAATTATATTTTATACCCAGCTTGTAAAAAGAAGTCTAGTAGATAAGAGAGGGAATGACAAAACAAAACAAACATTAACCATTAAAGTATACCTTAAAACAACTGATACTGATAATAAGCAAGTTATCTGGATTATGGAAAGCAACTCAACCAGTTTTGTACCATTTTTGACATACCTACTACAAACAACAGACGTTACATTAGGAAGAAAGCCAAGACTAAGAAAGGATATGTATGGGAAGTACTTAAAAAGCCATCTGAATGTAGACAAAAACAAGGGAATTTTTCTTTTAGTTACTTCCAATAGGCTAGTAGGTGGGGGGGGGGTTTGTGGGTTTTTGGTTTGTTTGTTAGGGTTTTTTTTAAATCCCACACTGTAATGTAAGCTATTTATCGAAACTGGAAGTCTAACAGTTTTATACTTTGACACCAAATCAAACACTCATCCATGAGCTACAAGCAGGGGGCGAGGGGGTAAGTTTTACAACCCAGTGATTCTTCATCAGCACTAGTCTGAAAATTTTTGCATTTAGGGGCTCCTTCAACTTTTTCCTTGAAGAAAACAAAACAAAACAAAACCACCAAACAAAAAATAACCCAACCCCAAAAACATTCCTTAGTAAGAAAAAGCATTGTCTACCACAATGTTTACATTCAAGAGATGGCTGAAGAAAGACTTTCCCTCAAAAAAGAAAGCCAAACCCCAAACAAATTAACCCACCTACGGTAAGACAATTTTTAACCAAAAAAGGTCAAATTTCAAAATGATGTTTCCACAAGATTCTGTTACAAGCATGTAGTACATACAGATTTGGGCAGGAAATGCTACTACTCATCTCCACAAGAAAGCAAACAATTCATGTGTTTGAAGATGCTACAAGCTCTCAACACGCTGGTTTGAGTCTTCATTATGAAATTACACAGCCACATTTGTTTTGAACAAAAGGACAATGTAGTGCAGTCTTTTTTGTCTGCAACATAAGGAGGGATCAGATATATGTTACAGTAGTTCTTATGATGTATTTGAGGCACGACATCTTGCCTACTGTTCTGTTTCTGCCATCATTCTTTAAATATTTACTCCATGTGGAAGGCCTGAAACAGTAAGTGATGGAAAGACTTCCTCTAGTTAGAGGACGCTTCTCACAAACGAATGCAGGAAAACAGACTCTGAACACTAGGTAGCTTTGTTCCTGTAAGATTTATCCCTGTGTCTTAAAATGGATCTGGTAAGTCAGTATACTTCATTTTTAATATTTAAGTATTATTAGCAGCAATTGGTTGTCTACTATGCTAACAAAGTCTCACTGGTACTAGGTTAACAGTACACACACACGTATCTGGGTATGTACTACTATATAGATTATTTACAAAATGGTAAATGGAAGTTCTTTCACAATGAAATCAGAACTAGATGAAAACATCACCCTGTAAGAGAACTGTACAAGATTTAACAAGCGTGGCAAATACATCTTATCCTTTCTCAACCCAAAGCTGCTCTTTCCCATATGCTTTTCAGTCTCTCTTGTGCATCCCAAGTTACATCTGATCAGTTTCATTACCATCAGCTATTTCCAATGAAAAGCTTAAACTCACTGGAAAAGGGACCAGACATTACAGTAATTTTTTAAAAGCAACATTATATTGATGGGATTCTGAGATCTCAGGATGGTTCCTTTGTCACATTTAAGAAGTGTTACCACCTGTGGAAAGTATTGACTCCTAGAAACTGGAGCTGAAAAGGCAACTAGAAACTACCTACAAACTAGTACTTAAAAGCTTAACATATATCATAATTTTTAACCTTAAGTTATATCTAGAAAATACAGTACACAACAGAAGAATACTATATTAATAAAGGGAAGCTTAAAATCTACTTACTTCAAAGGATCTCTAACTTTCTGTTCATTCTTCAAATTGAGAAAAGAAAACATATTGCTCTATGAAAAGAAAACTTTATCACAAAACTTCATCCCCTGCTTCCATGAAAAGAGATTTCCATTAAAGAGATGCTTTAGAATACATACTGCAGATAACAAAAGTTCAGATATTCTTTACAGATATGACTGCCTTACCTGAATATTAACAAAGACACCATGATATGTCTCATACAGAACTTTGTTCCCCTTCATATGCAATGGAAATTCAAACGGAATTTCTGTCTTGCCACTGGGAAGTTTCCCTGGTTTTACCATTTCAATAGTGCTGTTAATAATTTGAATAGGCTGCAAAGATAAATATTAAGAGGTTTAGGTTGAAGCAGAGAGACAGCCCCATCATTTCAAGAATCCACTAAACTCTAACAGACTTCCTGAATTTCCAGAAACTCAGGTATTTCTTCACAAGACACAGCTCTCCAGTCTTACAATGAAAAGAAATATTAAGAAATATTAAGAATGCTTTCCTCAAAAAACCAATTTGTGATCTATTTTATGGTAATATCATACATGATATATGATGACCAAACATATTTAGAGAGCTAAACAACGAAGTCTCAAGCACTTTGGAAAGTGGAGTTCCATTTTCTAAATTATGATCCTTAATAGTAGCAGCACGAATCAACAATTAAGTGTGCCGGTTGAGCGGTTGGTCATTCCCTCCTACCTTCTCCTTGGCCCTTTCCCACCCTAAAGACCTATACTGAGGGCTAGTCTCTCACTGGAACAATGGTTAACTATGCGTCAGCTGGGGAAGCCTGCTTGAAGACTACACTTCTTTTCTTCTCTGGTGTTTTACTATTGTTTTCCCCTCTACTAGACAGGAATAAGAAAATCCATTGCTTCTATTATTTCTTCTGGTTTTCAATCATTGATGGGCAGATTATTCATACTGTAAAAAAGTTAACTAGGATATGAAGACATTAAAAGGCCCTGCACTGAGGCTATCCTAACTTAAGCAAACTGTTTTACAAATGTAGCTACACTGCCTCTAGACAGAGCCAGCCTCGCTTCAACCAGTACAGCCATGTTTGTGTAGAGCCTGAGATAACCTGCCCTGCTAGATTCCAAACCCCACACTTCCAATCCTGAAAAGCAATACAGAGACCTTCCAGGAGCTCTGCAGACAAACAGTCTGTGCACAGCTTCATACTCCACAGAAGAATCTGTGCAGGTCCTGTGTCATGCCTAGTAACACACAACCTCAATGGCCTCTGCAGAAAATGTTGTGATAGTGACTGATCTGGAACAAAAGTCCAGTTAAACCCAGACACTTAAAAAAAAACCCCACACCATATATAATTACACAGTTTATTATTTTTCTTTAAATCACGGTCCTTCAATGCATCATGCAGTAACCACACTATTTATGTTACTGTATTTCCACCCTAAAGAAAACTCTCCAGTGCAAGCTCCTGCCCCAGACTGTCATCATATATCACTAGATAATGCTGAGCATTTCTCCGCTTTCTATCATTTACATACCATGAAGTGCTATAACTACCTGAGAGCCATTAAAGATTTAATTTGAGAAAACAGAGAAAGGTTTTGTGGCAAAAATATTAACCTGCACAGGTCTTACCTTGACAGAGTTATAGAAAGCTTCAAACACACCCACGCTTTTGGCACTAAGCTGCAGGTTTACTGATCCTTCCATTGTTAATGAGATACCTTGGTGCTGGACTGTGTCCTTACTTGTTATGACCACGACTCCAGAAAGAACTTCCTAGTGGGAGAGAAGACAACATGAAAACATTTGTTTAAATAGATTTCTTCTATAGGAGTTACTCAGACAGTGTGCTGACTGATTTTCAAACTCAACAAAACTGTTCCCAGAGAATAGTCTAACCTTGTCAGAAAAGACAATTACTGATAAGGAAAGCCATGTGAGGAAGAGATCTCTGTACTTCTGTTTGTTTTCTTTAAAAATATTCTCCTCCTCCTCGCAGAACTACTAATCGGAGCTTCAGCTTCTTTCCAAAGTTTCAAGATCCTCCTCTCCAGCAAGATGAAAAATATCTTCATAACTCTCAGGTCAGCTGGTAATCGACAAGTTCCATTTCACGTGTCAGAATGAAATCCCAGGAGGAATTTTTATATGAAGATGGTCAGCCATGAGAGGTGGAAGAGAAGGCATAATTGTAAAAGTGATGACCAAGCTAAGGATAAGACTAACATCAAGAATGGAATGGAACAGGTTTAAAATAAATAAATAGTTGTTCTGCTACACAAGCAAATTCCATGCTATATAGGAAATAGTTTAAAAGCGTATCTGAATCGAAGGCACAAGTTGTGTGACTCAAGAGATGCGCCACTTATCCCATTAAGAATATTTTGTCTACAAAACTGTATTTGCACAAGAACACTGCATCTTGGAAGTATCAACTTAGAAGTTCTAACACTGAAGATTAGCTGCAGGAGAGCAACACACAGTTCATTTTACATACCCCTTTACATATCCTTCCCCTCTCCTATAACAGGGAATCCACTCCAATCCAGAGTTCCACATAAAAAGCTCATACACATCTGGAAATAGCAGCAAGTAGTTTGAGAACCTGAAGAAAGTTTCTTGGGGCTAACCTTCTCTTCTGTTTATGTTAATGCTCTCTCCACCTTCACCAGGCTTGCATACTAGACACCAAACTACAGATCACTCCAACCAAAGGACAATTCAGACTGCCCACTCTACACTCGACCAGTTAAAACCAGTCTAGTTATGTACATCTCTGACAGACGCTATTTGAATTTTGCCAGCCTTTTTGTCTTTACTACTGGTACAGGATGACAATCTAGAAAATGGGTCAGGCGGTTTAAAGCAGAACAGGACAGCAGTAGAACATCACGCATCACAACAAAGGCTGACACGCTGCAAGTCTGAAAAGAGGACCTGCAGCAATTGGGAAATGCCAGGAACAGGAGGCACAAGCACAAAAGGACAGTGAAGAAAAGCTGACCTAAATACTGTACTGCTTCACTAACAGGCTTTAATTAGTACAAGCAATTAGGTTATTGCTTTGAAAATTGAGTACAGCTGAACTATAAGAAGCAAGGACAATCCTGAACATATTAACTACTTTAATAAATGAGAACAGTCTCCCACCACACAAGCAGCAACCTATTCCAGAGCTACTGCCTACATACTTTCACACGATAAGGTTGTATGTATTTGGGGCAGAAAGGAGAAGAATGACTTGAGCTTAAATATGGATTTTTCTTATAACATTTCATGTCTCTTAAGAAATGAAAAAAAAAAAAAACCCAAACTCAAACCCACTTTCTACCAAAACTTTTAAAGGACACTAGTGTGGGGGAGAGGAAAACATCACAAAAAAGACACTGTAATATTTACTTAAACTGTTTATATGCAATCAGATTATATTTCTGTTTGATGGGGGGGAAGTTGGCTATGTATATTTTCTGGAGAAGAGCTACTTTGTCCTTTTTTGTGTAAAACCAGGGTTCCCTCTAAATACAAAGCTGTCAGTATACCTGTCCCTCTAAAAAGTACAAATCAAAGAACGTAAGCTTACCAAGACATTCAAATACCTATGGTTAGAACACAATTTATGAGAAAACTTCACTTTTGCAAAACATTTGCAAACATGTACCATTTGTAAAAGTTACGTGGCATCACTTAATACTAAACTAGTACTGGTTTCAGTCCATATCAAAAGGGGTTCATTTACCTTTAACACCACAAAACTAAAGGTATAGAGAAAGTCACCACTGGAATTAATCCTCACGTACAACAATGTAGTAACTTACAATCAGTTGCTCTTATGCACTTTTTACCTTCTCCCTTACTAGGAACTCCTTATGGCTTCTTACCTTCTCCCTTACTAGGAACTCCTCATGGCTTCACCATGCGATGACAAAACTCTGCAAGATGGAACTAAGCTAATACAGCTCTACACAGAATTACTCATCTAAACAGTGTATCCATCCACAGGAAGGCCAATATCTTATGTGAAGCAGACAGAGAAATGAGGTACATATCCTAAACTGCAAATAAAATATTATTGTGAGAAGACTGCCCCAGGTTAATTATCCAAAACAAGCTTTATAACTTTCTGTCCCTTACCATTCAGACATGCTCATGAAACTGCCAGGAAGACTGACACATTCAAAGTTTCAGTCACTTTCAAGGTCACAACTAAGATGAACACCTCCTTCATCTGATCCAGCAGCACAATCCCTCGCTTCTCCAGCTGTGGAGCAGAATTACCCATGTCTGGCTGAGGACAATTTGGAACAATCTTTAAACAACAACATGAAATGGTGCGTGACATGCATCACAGAATGTCATCTTGAGAGCCCTAAGTCACATCTAGACTTCTGACTGAACTACACAGCTATTCAGTATCTATAAACTTTATGTAAAGACTGGAAGGATCAAAGTACACACTATACTGTCCCATAAATTGTTGGGAAAATTACTTTTAGTGTTAAAATACATACTAATTCCAACCTGACTGTTTACACTGCCAGGTCTGTTAGCTACATTAAGGAGCTAGAAAAATCATTTTAGCTAGGTGTTATATATTTTCAGCCTGTTTCTAATCACGACAGCATCCCTGATAAGAAAAAAACAGCCTTTTTTTTCCCCCAAATGCAAGATAACTTTGAAAAAAATAACAAACAAACCACAAGGCAGGTTTTCAAGACCACTAGAAATCTGTCATCATGCTTTTTGAGGCGTTGACAACAGCAGAGGACATCATACCTAATGCCATACAGAAATGCCTAACATTTCTCTAGCTCCATTCAATATCCACTATACATCTATGGATTAAGCTTTTCATTATTTTGGTAGAATGGAAGTCCACGGTCAGCTGGTTACCAACAAGATACCTTAGATTCCTTTCAGATTCCACCTTCCACATCACGAGTACTCACTTTTAGGACAAAGGGAAAACATTTGGCAATTTAAAAATTCACATTAAGTTCACGCAAGTCACATTTACTTAATATTCCTGATCATTTTCTTTGACATCTATTCCTCTATGCAAGCCACCCGCAAATCTTAACTACCTATTCTTCTGATTGTTTAGAAACTGACTGCTTTCAATAGAAAAAGGCTGCTAGACCTAACTAACTGGTCATTAGATGCTTTAAAAACCTCAATGCTCAGATTTACTAATTAGTTTGCTTTTTTAGAAAACGTAAAAGGCTTCCTTAGGGGCAAATTCTGACTTAAGTATATTTTGGACTCACTTGTCATTAAAAGGTTTGGCTGACATTAACTATGGCACCTTTCTTTGTACAATGCATTTTTCAGACCTTTCAGCCTAGAATTCTTTTAATTATCAATCTCAGACTAACTGCCACAGTTACTCCAGTCACCCTGTTTAGGTTTTCTAAATAAAGCGCATCATTAGTTCTGCCTGCCCCCTCATCTTCTAGCATTCCAGAGTTTATTAAACAAGCCTCAATGGCTCAAGAATTCCCCATCCAATTAAAAAAAAAAAAAAAAAAAAAGTCTCCTGAACACAGATCTTCTGTTCCTAGGAATTTAAACATAGTTTTGCTGCAATAAGCCTTATTTTGCTATTACAGGGTATGCTATTGGGATCCATTTTATTGTCCTTTTGTTCTTAAATCCCCTATAATTATTTTCTTTTTTAAACAATGCTATTACTCTTTTGGTCCAAGAAGTGGCAAACTTGGTTTTGGCTCACAATTTAAAGTAATCTGTTTAAGCCAGCTTTTCTCAAATTGAAGTCTGGATAAAATAAAGGTCTTTGTTTGCTTAGTTTCTCCAGTTTCTGATGATTATAACTAATGAATACAGAAATTGCTTACTGATTATTGCAGCACGTTATTTTAAATAACTTCCTTTTTAAAAGCAGGAACACAATATCAGGCTTGCACGATGCATGACTGTTTTTACAAATGTTGTGCCTAATTTCTCCCAATTAAAAAGGAACAGCCAATGCAGAAGCAAAGAGCAACTAAAAAGAACAAAATAGTTGACTACTCAACTACCTAGAACTAAATAAAGTTTTAGGAAGTGAAGTGACTTCCACTTGGCATAGGAGATTGCTTTGCAACAATGAAAAATCCTTGAATTCAGATGGGTTTAGTATAATGAAGGTCACCGTACCAGGATAAGAAGTAGTCTGACTCAACCCAAGGCAACAGGGAACAGTATTTGAAGGTTCTGTTATATGATATTTCAGCACCAAAGAGAAATGTTAAAGATCTTGGGGTGGTGGGGAAAGCCTATATAATGAAACATATGCATCACTCTGACCTTACAAAAAGCAAAACATGAAGTTATGCAGCCTTGATTTTCCTGGTCTGCTATTTCCTTCAGACATGCCCTTATCTTCTCCACTCAACAGCCTTCTCATAAGTACTTTCAACAATACTTTCCCCTAACAAGACTTCTGCAATAAAATTAAAGATAAATAACTTTCAGATTTCTTCCCTGCAAGTTTATATTAAAAACTGCTGTACCTTCAGGGCCTTATTCAGTATGGAATTTACTATTAAGAGATTCTCAGGACAGTTACTTGTTAAATACATGTCTCTCCTATATCTGTTTCCCCTCACCCCTTCCCTCTTGGAGGCAACAAAGATATATAGCAAATGCACTCAACAGCTGTAAAGATGCTGGTTTATGTACATGCAACAGATTGAGAGATGCTGATTGCTAAAAATTCCTGAATATTTCAGCCGGAGTATGCACTCTCAAGAGGTACAAAACCAGAACTTGAATGGAAGAATCAGCAGCCATTGCCATTACCAGTTCTTTGGTCTATTATTACATAAAACCACAGGCTGAGACCCTTTAGACTGTTCTTCATCCACTGCACTTTATTTTGTTCGTCCAATTTCCTGCTCTGTTGGAGTTCCTCCACTATGTCTAATCTCTCTTCTGTAGGCCATCCAGCACAAGACCATTCTGATACTGCTTGTTAAATACTCCCTGTTCTACTCTACTTGAGAAGCATGCATAAGAAAAACAAAAAAGGATGTCCATGATTCAACAGATTGACTTCTTAATTATTATTATTTACTTTTTCTGTTTTCTGAGTGTTGTGCCAATCAAATATTATCCATTTCCCTGATCTGGTTTACTGTCAGCACAAGAAAGGCAGCACAAATTAAATGGCTAGGGAAACAAGTGGCATTATGGAGTTATGCTGGATTAATCATGGTCTCAGGCAAGTTATGACTTAGAAA